CCGTGTACTCGCAACATAGACTGCACTCAGCCAAAAAACAGACATCAGTTACAAGCGGCTGACAAGTTATATAAACCAGAAATAGAAAATCTTTACAAGTATACCTCAGCAAGAAGAGCAAGGATGGCATCCAGGTTAGGGGTGCCGACTCCTCTAACCACCTCCCTGTCCTCAAGGGAGACGGCTTTCAGCATGGACTTGGCCATTTGTACAAGATCCGGCCTCTGAGAAGCATCTGCACATTCAACATTTTTTAAGTACTTGGTGTAAATTCGGCCAATAGACCAACTGCTTTCAGAGGTACTAGACGACTGCTGATTGAATTTGACCCTCAAAGGGTAAGGCAAAGGAAACAGGTCTTTAATACCTTCAGCAGCCGCCTCCTTCTCCTTCCTTTTCTCTTTCTCAAGCTGACTACCCTCAGGGACGGCTGGAGATTTTGGAGGTGGGTTCTTCCCTAGCCTCGAGGCCACATGCTTCCTGGATCTTCCAAGAGTGCTCACATCACTAGCCGCCTGCTTCCGAATCTTCGGATCCGGCTGTAAGTGAGAGGGTTTGTTTGAGTCGTTCTGCAACAAAAATCACAGGATGAGGAGCAGGCGACAACAAATATATTTTGTCTTAAACAAATGAAAGAGAAGTTCACCTTGGGCGCCTGTAAAGCATGCGACTCTCCAGTAGGCCGCTTGCCCAGGATGGCCGAGCGGAATTGAGCAGCATGTCACGATCCACACATCCCACCCCTCACTAGGGTCATTGGGCAGCAAGCAATAATCGTGGCCTAGGGGCTTGCCCTTGGTGCCCAGCAGAGCACCTCCCCCTATAGAGCTTTATTTAGCTCAAGTGTTGTCACCCTAGTGAACACCCAAGTGACAGTAACACAATAATGGGTCATTCGGGGGCCGGAATGAAGTCCGATTGAGCCCAAATTTGGGGGCCCACCGTTTTTAGGCCCAATGAAAATCATGGTGGTGTTAGATTTTGAAGAGGAATCCCGAAAGGTTCCAGAATACTCAAGGAGGCTCGTGATGCACCCGGAAGCTTCTAGAACCTCTTAGGTTGTCCTTGAATCCTTTGTAAATACTAGAATTGTATAGAACATTCTAGGCCTTTGTACATAGGAGGAATGTACTCAAGAAATGTATAGAAAACTCTAGAAAAGCTAAGATCTAGAACCCTCCATTTGAGGAGGTTAGTGAAGGTTCTAGGCCATACTTAGAGCACTATAAATAGAGGACTTGGCCTTCATTTGGAGGCATCTCAGAAATACTTGTACACCCTCTTTCTCAAGCAATCAAAAGCATTCCAAGTTCATATTCTCTTGTATTCTCAACATTCTCTTAGCTTTCGTTGCACACTCTTACTTAAAAAAGCATTTCGGGGTTACGCCTTGACTAGCATCCAAGGGAGGGAAATTAGTGGGCTAGCGTGCATAAGACTAGGGGGATTAGTCAGCACGTGACAAGCAGCTTTCTTTGATGCCAAGAGCTTTTCCATAGCTTTATCTGTAAAATATTAATCAAAGAGTTACTTTGTCACAAAATCAATCAAGTTTCACAAAACACTTGAACATGCGGTCAACTACCTCTCGGCATCTCTCCGCTAAGGCCACATGCGGCCAGATATGTCCCATCGTATAGCCAATTATACTTGGGAATATAATTTTGAGGAATGAACTCCCTCGCCCCAGTCTCGGGGTTCTCTTGGATATCCACTTTGAAGAGGCCTTTGTCAAGGACTCTTCTCTAGCTCTACGAGGAACAGGCGACAACTCAGATCCGCCTGTTAGGAAAGGTGGGTTCCTGTTCCACCTGTTAAAATTTTTATTCCTGACTTTCTGGAGACAATGTAGAAAGTGTTCCTCCAATCTTTTCACTTGTTCTCCTTCCCCAAAGTCATCATATAGCCCTTGTGGCTAGACAACTGGTACCACGCGGTCCCGCTTGTTTTTGGGGTTTGGCTGAGGCAGTGCATGTGAGCGAATGCTTCAAAGCTGGGGTCTACTTTATGCATTTCACAACCGGCAACATAGCCCAAGATGTTGAACCAAGAGTTTGGGGCCAGTTGCCAGACGCCCAGCTGGTATACGTCCAGGATTCGCTCCACAGCCGGATGAAGAGGAAATCTTAGGCCAGCCTTAATAGCCGCCTCATAGCAGCCGAAACACTCGTCCCCGTAGCTGGACCCCTCTGGCCAGACTGTGGTGTCCTCGACATCCGGCGTACATAAGATAAAACCATGCCCCATGACATGGTCAGCTCTGAAGCTCCCTATTTTATCCGCCGTCATTTTCTGCCTGCCTGCGGGAACATGATGATAGTAGGTGGCATATTGCTCTCGGCGGGTAGCAGACCGCTCCTCCCAATCTTCTCCCAATTCTACTAAGAAGGATTCTCTCGCTGTCTCTAGCCGAGAGTGCCTCTCTTCAGAGTCATTAGAGAATTTGCTGGAAGTACTTGACTCAGAGTCACTGCCTGAGCTCTCGGACCTAACGTTCGCCTGATGGGCTAGATCAACAAAGCCCGGCATGTCATTTTGGACCTCCTCCCCTAATTCTTCTAAAATGGAATGACTAGGGGTGCTGGGGGTGCCAAGCGGCACGTCAGATAACTCACTGACAGGCGCATAGAAGGAGGAGCTGTCTGAGTTTGTCACACTTGCAATTCTTTTAGTTCTGGGCATGGTGTCCTACACAGACACATAGACAGCTCGACTTGGGGCAGTTTGCAAAGGGTGGTCCATCAAGGGGCAGTCGACACTCCTAGTTCTAGATTCAACCGTCCCCGGTGACCGGCTGATCACTAACCTTGGCCATGCTATGTGCTTTTAGGAAACCATTTTCAAAAAGAAAAACAAACAAAGAGAAAGTACAAGAGAATACAAGCGGTTACCTTTGATTTAAAAAGATTGAAGATGCTTGAAAAAATCTGGCGGCTGTAAGAGCAGGTGGTCAGCTAGCAAGCGGCAGTCGTTCTCTAGAAAGATGTCAAAGGCAAAAGTCTTAAGTTTAAGATTTTCAAAATTCTAGAATGTCCAAACAAAGGATTTGTACATTAATTGCTGAGCATTAACTCTAGCTTTAATTGCACTTCTTGAGAGCTAAGGCTCGGATTTCGAGGCTATCTAAGATATTCGGATGATCACTTCTCTCCTAAAGAGGAGCCTGATCCCCTTTACTTTCCACTCTTTTTACATCCGAACACGTTCTAACTTGATCGTCGGAGGTGGAACTCCCACCCACAGGAGTCTCCGTTATTTTGCAGGTACAGGCGTCCAGAGGCTAGTCTTGATGTTGTAACTCTCCCGTAGGACACATAAAAAAACCCCGAAACAAGTCCGCTGACGTTGCCCAGTATTAGAATACCATAAATGACCTTGAGACTAAAGCTAAGCTAATGACGCTGGCGGAATCCATCAGGCGTTTGACGGCTGCTCTTGATGAGACTAACCTGAAAGCCACCAATTTTGAGGCGGCTCTCAAGAATGCCCAAGTGGACCTCAAAGCTCTGGAGGGCGCCGACAAGGAGAACACCACCCTCCGAGCAGACGTCAACTATCTGAAGGATGAGATGACTGCTTCCCAGGCCAACTTCGGAGTAACTCTAGAGGCTGAGCAAAGCCGCCTCATTGAGGAGAATGAACAAGACTGCGAGGACCGGATGAGGATGGCATGGGACCTTGTGCATCAAGGTGCTGATTATGGCATCTGGGCTTTGGCCTACAAATATGAAAATCTTGTTCTTTCCGCAAGGGCTAAAAGGAAGCCAGATCCTGAACCGTTTGAGGAATGGGCAAACAAGGAGGCCTCAGACGGTGAGGAGCCAGCTCAGGTTGTAGGGGAGGGAGAGGAGCAAGAGCAATAGGCAGAGGATGCATAAATGAACTCAGCTCTACCTTCGCCTAAGATGGATGCGGCGAGGACCCCGCCTTAACATAATTAGCTTTCTTTATTTCTATCGGTTGCCTCCATTTTCCGTAACACAAAGTCCCCTACATTCAAGGGTCGTTTATGAACTCTCTTGTTGTAGGCTCTTGTCATTCTAAGACGGTATATCTCATGACGCAAGGCGGCATTGCCCCTGCGTTCTGGAAGTGAGTCTAATGCCAGCCGCATAGCCTCCCAGTTTGCCTCTTCATCATATAACATGACTCGAAGAGTTGGCTCATAATGCTCAATAGGCAAGACGGCTTCAGCACCGTACACCATGAGAAATGGGGTTTTGTCGGTTGCCCCTTTTGCTGTTGTTCTGATGGGCCATAGGACATGAGTTAACTCTTCTGTCCATTAATCATATAACATGACTCGAAGAGTCGGCTCATAATGCTCAATAGGCAAGACGGCTTCAGCATCGTACACCATGAGAAATGGGGTTTCGCCGGTTGCCCCTTTTGCTGTTGTTCTGATGGGCCATAGGATATGAATTAACTCTTCTGCCCATAAATCGCCAGCCCTTTCAATTTTCTTTTTTATGGAGTCTAAGATTAGCTTGTTGAAGGCTTCAACCTGGCCGTTTGCTTAGGGACGGCCGACTGATGCAAAATAGTGAGAGATCCCTTGGTCTCCCAGCCAATTCTTGAGGGTAGACGTCTCGAATTAAGGGTCATTGTCAAAGACCATAGACATAGGTACCCCAAACCGGGTGATGATGTTCTTCCATATGAAGGAGATGACATCCTTTGTCTTAATGTTTTTGACCGCCTCTGCTTCTACCCACTTGGTGAATTAGTCAACGACAACTAGAATATACCGCCGTCCGCCTGGAGCAGGCGTATATGGACCCAGAATGTCCATACCCCATTTGCAAATGGTCACTAGTACAAAATTGGGCTTAAGTAACACCTTTTGGTAACACTTTAAAAAATTCATGATTGTTTGATTTTTAGGTAACACTTTTGTAACATTGTAGTATTAGGTAACATTTTTAGCAGCACTTTAATATAATGTAACACTTTATTGTAACACTTTGATATTAGGTAGCACTTGGTTGTAACACTTAATTTGATATAATCAATTTTTTTTTTCAATCCAATATTTTTTTATAGAAAATAAAAAAAAAACTACACCCTTCGTCTTGTTAAAAGATTGACCCTCATAACCTCACTGTTGGCTGTCTCTTAACTTTCTTCCTCCCCCAAGATTTCCTCGGCTTCCACCACTGCCCCCATCTCGCTCCTGCTGCTCCACTGTAGCCCGGCCCCCGTCCATTGCAGCCTCCCTCCACCGCAACTCGTGCTCCAACTTGAAGACGTACCCAACAACCCCATGCTCCAAGTTAAAGGGACAACGATTGCCACCCCCAAAGACAGCGGTTGCCACCTCCTTGCCTCCATCCTCGCACGGCGGCTTTCACCTTAAAGTTAGGGTTGGGGTTAGTTCTGTTTCTTCTCCCTTCCATTATCAACATGAATTTGAGTAGCTAAAATTAAAGTTTCAATTCCCTTTCTCTTATCTTGTTGATGATTTCTTAAATTGATGTTGAATTCGCCTATTAACATATTTAATTTCGCTATTTTCATACTAAATTTTGCATGCATCTGAATTGGTTGAAGTAATTAGATGAGTTTGGGATTTTAGTTTTTTTGTTTTTCAGCTGAATTTGTTTACCTTGTAACTTGATCTTTTGTTAACTAATCTAACAAATTTTAATTTAATTATTTTCTCCTGATAAGCTTGTCGAGAATCCAAATAATTGCGGGCGAAAGAGATGCAAAAATCCAAAGCAATGCCAGTTATAATTGGAGACTTGGTGTTTCATATACAAACTACTGCTGCGTGCTATTCCTGCTACTGCCCAAACCACCACTCCGTGCATCAGTTGTCACATTTTCTATGCTTTAATTTTGTGGGGTAAAGATGATTAATTGGCCAATTTTCTGCAATTTACCCATTTTTTTTCTAGATTTTTCTTGATTTTTGAGATTTTATGTGTTTGATTAGTTTAACGTTCACTTCAATCTGAAAACTCAGTTATACTCTGTTTATCTCTCTTTCTCATGGCTGCATAATCAGTTACCTATAGTCAAGCTCTCAATTGTTAGGTTACATGACTAATTTAAGCAATTGGAAAGTGGATGATAATGCCAATAGGGTACCTACAGGTGGTATGACAAAGAGGTGAATTAGGAGTTATATTGAAGGAGAATTAGTCCTACCATGTAATCAATATATTGATTTATATTATGAATTAGTGGCTATGTATTTTAACTAGAAACTACGATATCGTTTGAGTTATAGAGGCCATGGTCCTTGGATGTTAACTTTTATAAATTGCTCTTTTATTCATCATATTAATCTGTTTGGTCCTTGGATGTACTTATTTTAGGCAATAGTTTTGTATTAGTTTAAAGATCTTGTCGTTCTGTTCTTCTACACCATTGAGCTGTTCCTCTTGGGCTATTCTTTGAATCAAATCTAGTTTTTCCAAAGTAAGAATACTTTGTGGAAATAAGTTAGTTCACATGAAGTCTGATTCAATTAAGGTATCTTAGGGATTATTTTTGTTGATCATATACAATGTGTTTGAGTTTGCTTTCTTTTCGTCCATGCAGTGCGGTCACTCAAGATTATAGTGAGGGTTTGTATGGTTTTGATGACTGCTGCCGGAAAAGCTACTTGTTAAAAATTGTAACTTGGGATCAGTCACTGCATTCAGCAGCTCCAAAGCATGCCGTGAGAAACAACGAAGGGATCATCTAAATGAACAGTTTTAATATTTGAGGGATTTTGATCTCATTTTGCCTTTTTTTTTCTCAATGTACTTATTACCATTTTGTTGGTAGGTTCCTTGAGTTAAGTGAAACATTGAGGTCTGGAACAACACCCAAGTTTGACAAAGCCGCTATACTAACTGATGCTATTCGGCAAGTAAAGCTATTACATGAAGAAACTTGTAACTTAACCAGCCAAAATGGCGAAGTAAAAGAAAAGATTAATGAATTGAAGGTTCTGACTCTTTTATATTTGCTTTGATCTGTAAGCTTTGAACAATTTGAGGATTATACATCAACCTGCTAGCCAATAATCTCACAAATCAGCCTTAATACCAAATAATACTTCGTATATTTTTTTATTCCTCAATCTCTTACTGGTAGTTATCTTTATTGGTGTCTAAACTATCTGCACTTTGTACTAATGAAGGCAAAGAAGAAAGCCCTTTGCGCTGAAAAGCATAGGTTAGTGTCAGAGAAAGAGAAGTTAGAGCAGAGAATTAACTTTGTAGGTTCTTGTCCTAGCTTACATTTCCATCCTACTTCAGTTCCAACTTCATACGCTATCCCCTGTCAAGCAGTTGGTGGCAAACTGATGCCCCTAATTAATTACTCCGGTGTTCCCTTTTGGCAATTTGTGCCTCAAGCTGCATTTGATACTCACAAGATCATGTCTTTCACCCTCCCATCACTTAAGCTGGAGCTATATATTATCCCTTCCTCGCAGATCTCCCATGGGCCTTGAAGTTAATGGTTAAGTCTCCTTATTGTAAGATGCTCTGTTTCAGGATGAAGGGATGGATTAACAATGGATGATTGGCTATTATTGGAGTAATAGTTAATTATTCTGCTTAACTAATAATCTAAATTCGGTCAAAAAAATAAACTAATTTAATTTCTCATAGTATTTCTGTTATATTGGCTCCTTTTCCTTTTATTGTTAGATTTTCATGATAATTCAATGGCTCACTATCTATCTCTCGATGTGGCAGGACCTACATTGTTTGCTCCTGTAGTTGAGATGGCCATGACAATTGTTGAGGAGAGTGGAGGACAATACCATGTTTTACTCATTATTGCAGATGGGTAGGTATTTGCTTTCTTTTAATTTGAAGTGTGGGTTGATCAATTTCTTTGAGCTTCTGTTTTTTGCACTATAAGATTTGTATGAATGGGCTGAAATGTTATGCTGACAAATGAACTTGCATTGCTCTTGGTATATGGTACTCAATTTATCTATTCTAAGGCCGTAATACAATATGAACTAACATGATCAAGATAGATTTGGAAGGTTTGACATTATAGGCTTCTGTATACATTTTTTGTGTTCACTTGTTCGGCCTAATTATGTCTATGTTTAACTTTAGTGTATATTTGATTGATTTTTAATTTTAGTTTTTTTGCTTATTGTGCAGATTAATTGAAGACAAAGATACTCGTAAATCTTCAAGCAATTAGTAGAAGATAAAGAGAAACTTGATTCCATTAGTTTTATTTCCTTGGAGCTGTTGTGCAGTTTTTTTCTTTTTAATTGTATACAGTAATAGTGTAATGGAGTACTACTAAGTTTTGATTTATTTGGTTTTTTCTTGTATTTGACTTCACCTTTATCAATTAAAGATTAAATTTAGTTTTACTGATAATGAATATAGCTTGTGGTGATCAGGTGAAGTACTTCGTATCATTTTGTGATTTTATAATAATAATAATTAAATGTTACCTATTAATGAATAAAGTGTTACATAAGCTTGCAAAAAGTGATACATAATGTCGAATAAAGTGCTACTATATGTCAAAAGATGATTGAAAAATGTTACCTAATAATCAACAAAGTGTTACATTAGATTGAAAAAGTGATACATAATGTCGGATAAAGTGATACTATATGTTTGAAAAATGTTACTAAAGATAAGTAAGTGTTACTTAAGAATTAAAAAGTAACACTTTAAAATGATACTAATGATATAAAAAAGTGTTACATAAGAGGTTATATAATAACACTTTGAAAAGTGTTATCATATGTTATCCAAAGTGTTACATAAGACCTTAGGTAACATGGGCGGATGTATCACCCACTAAAGTGTTACCTATTGTCTATAATAACACTTTTACCACTTTTTGTAACACTTTTTGGGTGTTACTTGAGGTTAGTTTTGTACTAGTGGGTATTGGGCTATGAATGGTCGTCAGATCAGTGGCCGAACGGTGTATGAGTCTGCCAAATCTTTGACACTTGTCACACTTCTTCATCATTTCCATGACGTCTGACTCAAGAGTGGACCAGAAGTAGCCTTGCCGCCTGACCCTTCCTACTAGAGACCTGCCGCCTATGTGTGAGGCACAAAAGCCTGAGTGTAGATCTTCCAGAATCTCTTGCCCCCTTTCTCGGGTGATGAATTTCAAAAGAGGTTGCAAAAAACCCTTTTTGAAAAAGCTCTCCATTGTGAATCTCAAAGTTGGTCGCACGCTTTTTCATTGCAGCCATTTCTGGACATGTATCCGGCAGAGTGGCGTCTAGCAGATAGGCTCGGATGCCATCCGTCCAGATTGAGCTTCGGTCCAGAACTCCAATGGGATCTTCTCCAATACTTCGTTTTTCCATCACTTCCCAAAAGACGGACCGAGGTGTATCACAAGAGGCGGACGACGCCAGCTTTGACAGAGCATCTGCCTGATTGTTCTCCGACCTGGGCATTTGACTTAAATGGAATTTTTCAAGTGTTCCAGCTTCCGTCCTGACCGCCTGCAAGTATTTGACCATAGCCGGATGGATGGCCTCATAGTCGCCATGGTATTGGCTAACAACCAACTGAGAATCAAGCAGGCATTAATTTTTCTTGTCCCTGCTGCCTTACAGATGCGTATGCTGGCTAGCAAGGCTTCATACTCAGCCTCATTGTTTGAGGCTTAAAACTTGAACCGTAGTGCATATTCATACTTGTCCCCTGCATGAGACTGACAAATAATCCCTGCACCACAATCGTTCATAGTAGAGCTCCCGTCTACATACACTTTCCAAACCTGGTCAAGATTTTCTGGCTCAACTGGCCTTGTCATTTTGACAATGAAGTCGGCAAACGCCTGACCCTTCATTGCCTTCCTTGGTTCGAAAGAGATCTCAAGACTTTGCATCTTAATAGCCCATTTGAGCATTCGACCAGATGACTCTAAGGTTTTCATTTGGCCGCTTGAGGGGTTGGTCTGTATAGACTACCACCGAATGTGTCAAGAAATAAGGTTTCAACTTCTTGACTTCCATGAACAAGGCTAGACCGAATTTTTCAATCATAGAGTACCGGAGTTCTGCATTTCGATGCATATGGCTAATGAAATAGACCGGGAGCTGACTGCCGTCTCTCTTAGCAAGGAGAACAGCAATGAGAGAATGATCTGAGACGGCTAAGTACATGTAAAGAGTCTCTTTGGGCAAAGGGTGAAAGGAATGGTGTCCTTCCAACAAGTGTATTCTTCCGATAGAGGGTTCAGAATTATTACAAAGCTAATTCTTCAGTAAGGTCAAGTGATCGGAATGCCTAGGTGGAGGCCGCTTCCGATCAGTAATATCAATGTGCAATTGATGTTACAGCTTAATCTTAACTAAACCCTTCGGGTCGAACCCAATCGAATCACCGATCCGAGACAACGAATTAATCCGAAAGGATTTAATGAGTCGACAGAGTTTTACGAATACAGACGTCGAAAATCGAGCCTAGGGCGTCGAGACCGAACTTCGCAAAATCACAAGCAACAAGTATGAGCGTAGCCGTAGCTAGGCTAGGCTAGCTCATCGCAAGCCTAGGCGCACCATGTGTGTGCTAGGCGCACCATGGTGTGCTAGGCACTATCGCAGCCTAGGCGTGCCCTGGCAGCCCATCGCAAGCTAGAAGCATGCTAGCATGGGTGCCTGGGTGCGCATGGAAGCTATCGCAAGCCCCACAAGCACCAGGCAGCCCATCGCAGCTAGAAGCGTGCTAGCCTGGGTGCCTGGGTGCGGATGGGCACTATCGCAGCCCCCTAGCACCACGCACAGCACCATCGCAGTGCTAGGCACATGCGTGTGTGCGTGTGCACCGTAGCACAGCAAGCTGGCAGGCAGCGCTGGCCTTGCGTGAGTGCTAGGCACCATCGCAGGCCACGCACCAAGCACAGCTAGCTGGCAGGCAGCGCTGGCCTTGCGTGAGTGCTAGGCACCATCGCAGGCCACGCACCAAGCACAGCGCTCGTGCGTGCTGGCCTGGATGCACGTAGCTATGCGAGCATGGGCGAGTGGTGATGGCGTGCTAGGTGCCATGCGTATGCTGGTCATGGCTATGCTAGCTATGCGAGAGCCACGCATGCGTGTGCGTGTGCCTGCGATAGCAAGACAGCAGCACCACACATGCGTGTGCGTGTGCCTGCGATAGCAAGGTAGCAGCGCCCAGCGCCCAGCACAAGGCGTGGCTCGCTAGCAGCACGCAAGTGCTGGGCTGGGTGATGCGCGGTGTTCCAGCCATGCTAGGTGGTTGTGCGTGCTTGCAGCACCAGGTGGCAGCCAGCCTAGCTGCCTTGTAAGTGGCGGTTTAAGGAGAGGTGGGGACCAAAGCCACCAAGCTTCCCTTGGGGAGCAAGGCATTGGTCCCCCCCATGGGATATGGTCCTCACCTAACCCATTCTCTCCTTTTGCCACTTGTTGGCTTGTGATTGCTTTTGCCTAATTATTTATTTTGGAATTCAATAAATTATTGCAAATTGCACATGATCCCACATTGATCATGAAAAAGGGTTTCAAGTCCCCATTCTCTATAAATACCCACTTGGTTGGGATTTTGAGAATACAACCTTGAGTGGAATTAAAAAGGCAACTCTAAGAAAGAGTAAACCTTTGATTCGTAAAACTCATAGTTATTTTGTCCGGGTCTTGACTAACCTTCAAGACTTAGGACGCTCGGGTCGGGTCGAGGGTACGATCCGTCGGAGATCTCGTCTTTTCGGGATTTTGAAGTAAGAGCTCTTTGGGAGCGAAGCACGCGTCAAAGGTATAATTCTTGTTCTTAATCTTGTTTGATTAAGTTTATTATGTTTGTTAATTGCTTTAATTAAGGGGCGGGTCTTGGTGGGTTTCCTTCCGCGTAGTGTCGGGTCACTACGAAACTCTACGGCGGTATCGGAGCCACGCTCCTTTTAATTTTTGCAATTATTGTTTAATTAAGGTGTTTTAAAAGAATTTAATTTTCTGGTTCATGTTCATCTAATTAGATTAGATGCTCGTTTTAATTAATTTTTTAAAACTCGATTTTATTTTCGGTTTGGCTGTCAAACCCAGATTTTGGCTCAAAAATAGTGATTTTTGGGTGAAATCGGCATTCTGGAACTGTTTCAACTCTTTAAGGGCTGTCCTGAAACCAAATTCGAACCAGAAACCCAATTTTTCTGGGGTTTTTTCGTTTTTCAATGAAAATTTTAATTCTTTTTAAGCCTTGATTAATGCAAGCATTACAAGGTTAGATTAAATGCACATTTGCATCACTAATCTACTGGTTTTAAAATATCCTTGAGCATAATAATGGAGTGTTTATTAGTGCTTAAGTTGATATACCAATTTATCACACAAACTTGTTTTTCACAAATTTTGCAAATAAATTGCAATAAGGTGTGAAAACTTGTTGTGATTTTGTATTTTAAGTTCCCAAATAATGTTAAAGTTCTAATCTTTAAATGTTTAAATGATTGGAACCCTAACCCTAAGTTCCATGTTGAACAAAGTTTGGATTTTTTCATATTTGGTTGATTAAAATCCATTAAGTTCAATTACTTGTGAGTAAAATTTGATTAATCTTCATATTAGAAGATGTAATCTTGGTATTTTACACAAGTATGCAAGTTGGAAAATTTTATCATTGGATGGTTAATTTATTTTTCCAACTCCCTTTTGTCAAATCCATTATTAATTTGCATATAGGCAAGATTAATTTTGGACATAGCTCATTTTATTTTAAGCATAAATTTGACCTATTTTTGTTCAAAATTGAAATTTTGGATAAATTTAGGCTTGTGCACCAATAAAATAAATTTATTTAAGTTAGACTTTATTTTATTTTATTTTATTTTCCCTCAAATTAATTCTAAAATGTAATTTAGAATTAATTCATGTCACACGTAAATCGAGATTAAAATCCCGAGTCATAGCACGCAAATCAAGGCAAAATACCCAAGTGCCACCAAGGCTAGCCGGGCTGCCTAGCAGCCCACATGTGGCTGCCTGTGGTGCGCACAAGGGTGAGCCATGATGCGGCTGTGCGTTGTTGTGTGGCGGGGAGGCATGGCTGATGTGCGTGGGCAGTGGCTGGGGCTGGCTTGCGAGGGATGCTGCTGGGCAGCAAGCACCAGCCCAGCGCACCACGAGCATCAAGAGGCGCCTGCCCAGCAGGCCAGATGCTCACAGGCACCAGCATGCTAGCAAGCATGCGCAGCATGCTAGCAGGCAACTGGCGCTAGCAGCAGTGCTTGCTAGGCACAACAAGCCTCACCCACGCACCATGGCGCCATGCCATGGGCTGCCTAGCAGCCATGGTGCGCACCCACCAAGGGTTTTGTTGGGTGGTTTTGCTTAATGTTTTGGCTATGATTTTTGCGAAAATCTTGTCGTTTTAATAATCTTAAATAA